ATAACAAAAGAAAGAGTTTTATAATTACAAAAGCTCTTAGTAAAGCCACAGGAAGTAATTCCTTCAAACTAAAAGTTGGGTTCATGGCCAAAACTGAAGTGATACAAGAAAGGAAATAGCCTCTTTGGGGATCAGAAATGTGGTCATATTTAGAAGAAGGAAGAGATCATATATTACTTTCTGTAAATAACTGGACATCCTTACTTAAATATGTATAACTTCTTCCCAATGGCATTAAAAGGATTAATGATTTTTTTACTAAATTACTTAGATTTTGTTAAGTCAGAGAAACACAAATGTTTGTATATATAAAATTCTGCTGTTATTGAGCTTTAACTGGTGAAAAGAGGACATGGAAGCCATTAATAATTGTAACCAAATAGTTTCATTTCTGCAGTCTACTGTCAGCCCTAAGAGCAGGAAACTTTTTTGATCTATTAATCTGTAAGTCAGATTTGAAGATGAGAAATATATATTCGTTATCTTCTTAATCCTTTTCTTTAGCAAATCTCACCATCGAACCGCTTTGATTTGTCAATGAGGCTCTATTTCCAAAGGTACAATCTAATTTAAAATGAACAAGCTTTTAATTGCTTTCCTTGTACTAAGTAAGAGGATAAAGGATCTTGCATCAACTTCCATATTTATATTTCTTACCAAGTATCTTGCTTAAATTCTTATCTCTGTAACACTGAGGTTATATTAACCGTTTTGTCTTATTTTTTAAAATTAATTTTATTAGCATTCTTTTGATATACACAATGAATACATTTGTAACTGTACATCTTGATTCATTTTTCTCATTTCCCTCCCCTCCCTTCAACTCCTTTTCTCCTTATTTACAAAACCTTTGTTTCCATTTTTTCCTTCTAGTCTCTTCCTTTTCCTTTTCCCCTCCTTTCCTTCATCATCCTTTCCCTTATTTCCCTTTCCATTTGAACATTTTCTTCTTTCTTTCTTTTAAATACTCTCAGAGAAAAATTGAGGCAAAATGGTGAAGTCAGCAGTAACATGCCTTTCTTTTTACATGCTTCATGATAATTTCTTTTGGGTTTTATGAGACAGGATCTTAATATACAGTTCAAGCACCCTTTGAATTTACTATGTAGACCAGGCTGGCTTCGAACTCACAAACTCCTCATAAATGAGGGATTACAGATGTGTGCCACTTCTCTGGGTAGGCTTCAGGATATTTTCAAGTTTCAAATGCTTACTTTTTTCTTTGACTTTAAATTCAGATATGCATGTCCTGCCAGTTTTCTCTCGGCTCAAATCTACTTTCAATTCTGCTGCCCTAGTTCAGGGAACAAAATAGCCATGATATTAGTTTCTCAAATAAATCTATATGACAACACCAGATGAATCTTGATGAAATCCTGCTTTCATTGTGTCTCTCTTTTATGTCAAGATGTTTGATGGGCCCCCAAAACCTAAGGATCTGTTGTATATTCTTCACTGGTTAAAATTTTGTCAGATATTTGGTTCTTAGCTTTAAAGTTGTAGAAATGTCATTTTTTCAAAGTTTATCAATAGCTGAGCTCAAGAATTAACTCATAGCACCTATATAGCTAAGAAATCAATGGATAAATCAGAATGTATCATATTAATGTACAATATACAATTTTATAATATACTTGACTCAAAAACTGTCTTCGTAGAGTACTCCTGATGAGTAAGGCTTATCAAGGACTTCCTTTTGAATTTAGAATACAAGCCAAAATTCTTACCTTGCACTCAAGGGCCAACATGGGATAACATCTACTAAACTTTTCAAAATGGTCTCCTGCCCCTCTCTCCCTTGATCGCTATACTTTGGCTACATATACTGTGCTTTCTTCTTCCAGATCTTGAAGAAGGCAATCCCCTTTTCACCTCAGAGCCAAATGTACACCATTTTCTCCAGCTGGAATACTCTTTCCCTTCATTCTTCACTTAATTATATGGGAATCAAAAATTAAATACCTTAATTTCTTTTACTGACCTTAGTTAAAGAAATGTAATTTTTATAATGATATTTAATGAAAAGCCTTGAGGGGAGATAATCTTATTAGTATAAATTCTTTGAGAATTAATTCAAAGTGTCATCCTAGTTGTTAAATGCCTAGCAAGATGAGGAAGAGAACTTCACATTGGAGAAATAACCAGTTAGAGAAAAAGTGTTTTAAAGATGTACAATTTGTTCTTTGTTAATAGAATAAAACTCTCAGAGATATGTTGCATGACAAGGCTGATATATACAAACAATGTCTAGTGTAACCTCTTCTACTCATAAAACATTTATTATAAAGACTTAGAGTTGTTTACTCAAGTGAAAAATGTTTTTAGAATAAGAAAGGGAATGGATTCACTGAAGCTGTAAATGAACCTGCCATCCCTGCAGGTGACTACACCTGGAGAAGCACGCTATCACCTCAAACAAATCGGATCCAAATCCAATAAGAAGATTGGCTCTCTCAACTTTTCTTATCAGTCAGGGACTCAGTTTTTAAGTCACTCCCTTTGAAGAAGCTTGCTCTGGGTACTATTTTTTTAAAGCAACACTACTCAAATTTTGGAAAATGATTTGATAAAATTACAAATGTCCAGACCACCCTTTTTCATAAGCCAGAGCTTAGGTATTCTTAAAATTTCTCTAACTGATTCTGATACCTACCAAAAATATGTAGTTTTTCTTTCATCTCTTTATTTTCTATTGTATTTCCCTGTTTGTTTCCCATATACCACTTATCATGGTGTCTATTTACATGTGATTATCAGTCTCCCCCTACTAGACTATAAGCACCGTGAAGGCAGGATCATGTCTTTCTTATCAATTGCTGTCTTTTAAAGGCTTAACACAGTGCCTGGCACAAAGCTGAGGCTCAATAAATAGATGGCATGGTATGCAGAGAACCAAAACAAATTTCAACATGGAAAACCAGAGTCCTGGACTAGCCAGCTTCCCATTCCCCAACCAGCCTATGGGTAAATCAATCAAGCAGCTGTATTTGAAGGATCCCAGATAGTTTGCAGAGGAGCATCAACCCCATGACTTACCCCACCCAACTGAATATATTTCTATGTTAGGAACATCCCTATTTCTTACTTTTTTCTTTTTTCAAAATAAAGGAATTGACTGGATTATTTTAAAGCTCTGTTTCCAGTTTTAAAATTTATTTGCCTAATGAATTTGTTCCAGAAGGTAGTTGTGTTTGCATTTCCTCTGGGAATGAGTTTCACAACACTGATTAGAAACTTAAGTCTCATGTCACTAACATAAGTCAGTTGATGACAGAAAAGTTTGACCATTTTAGCCCATGACCAGGAATCCACTTCCATTTGACATGGCCTTCCTTCCCTCCTTCCTCTCTTCCTCTCTCCCTCCTTCTCTCCCTCCTCTCTCTCTCTCTCTCTCTCTCTCTCTCTCTCTCTCTCTTTATGTCTCTGTCTCTCTGTCTCTCTCTCTTTCTCTCCTCTTCTTTCTTTACTTCCTTTTTGTAATACTGGGAATTGAACTTAGGGTCTTTGCACTGAGCTACATTTTCAGCCCATTTAAAATTTTTAGACAGGGTCTCAAATCACTAAGTTGCCTAGGCTGGTCTCCAACTTGAGATTTTCCTGCATCAGTCTCACAGAATGTTGACCATGGCTTGTTTAGCAATAATTGATATTATTTTTCCTGAACAGTTATTAAGAGAAAATTTATTTGTAATATTTAAGAAACTGTGGAGTTAATTCTCAAATTCAATAATCTTTGTGATGTATTTGCTACAAAAAAGATGGGCAAACAACATCATTTCTAGTATTAGGATTTAAGGAATCTAGCAGAACCTGAGCTAAGACATCACAACCATCACTGAATTGTCTGTATATGACTTACTGGCTTCAAATACAAGGTAATATTGAGAAAACTCCTGATGTAAATTGTAGATGGCAAGATTCCCTACTAGATAATGGTGGTTTAAGTGAATTAAAAACAAAACACCTATTCAGGCTTATAAAATGCTAAGAAGAAAGGTATCCCCTTTGAGTGAACAATTTATTAAAAAGGCACACCTTCCTCCTGGCTGGAAAGGCTATAAGGAAACACAAGACTTGGTAACTGAAGTGAGGATCAGGTTCAAATTTTTGCCACATATTACACCTGTTTCTTTTGTACAGGACACAATTTACATGGCAGTATGTGATATTTCTAGTTGTCAGAGCCTGATTAGTGAGACTTGACTGGCTTTCCATTATTAAGTATGAACATTCATAGTTGTCAAAAGACATAAACACTCCCAAATTGTTGAATGGAACTGTATCTGTGTGCCTCTATTATGTCCAAATAAGACACTAATAAGAGTTTCCAAGACCAAAAGATCTAAAAAGGAAGTGTTCTATATACCTTCTCCATATACATTCTTTACTGATTTTTATTATATGGGAAGACTTGTCCTACAACTTTGGCAGTGGACCAATGGGCCCTTGGCATTTCAATTAATGTTCTAGGGTTACTTGCAGAGGAAGACTACCCTGGTACTGTCACTCTGATCCTTTGTGCCAGTTTTCCTACCCAGCAATTTTACAACAGCCAAATCATTAGCACAATATACATTAGAAATTTCTGACACTGAATTGTTTTTCTCAAGTACCTGGAAATTAATCATCAAAAAATAAAAACCAATAAAGAGTCTTTCCTAATATTGAAGTCATTACAGTGTAATCTCCTGTGGTTTCCATTTCCAATGTTACAAAGGAGAAAGCAGGGAAAAAAGCAATTCTTGGGCTAGTCATATTAATTAAATGGATAGAATTTCACACATATACCAAGGACACAAGTCATCACTAGTTTTTGTTAATCTCAGGATTGTCGTAGTTCCATTAAAAAAGAATGAGTGAAGACAGTGTAAAAAGAAAGACATGATAAAAATAGCTTTGCAATAATCAAAGCCTAATGTTACTCTGTTATTTTTTTCTTATTCAGACAAATAACATCTTCTTAAGAGGAAATGTTTTAAAAGCAAATAAATTCTCACTAGTTTGATTTGAGAAAGATGTTAAATTTTATTTACATTAAAAGTAAGCTTTGGGGCTTTTTGAGGAAGAAATGACTACAATTTGGAAATGATTACAAGTTCTTTCTGGTTAAAGGAAGAAGTATATACCATTTCTTTGGCTCAAAGAACAAGTGGGAAAATGAGAGCTCATAATCATGTGGCATCATTTGGTTCTTTCTATGTAGGCAATTTGAACACAAGTATCTATAATTCACATGGAACCTTCTGGTTAAATCATTTCTACAATCTCTACTGAACGAAGATATTTCACTGAACTCCACTCTGTTTCTTAAGTGCTTCCAATAAATTACCACAGATGTGAAAGTCACCTTGAACATTTATTGGAAAAATTGATCTTTTCTGTAATGTCATGAGTCCCCTCCCAACAGAATACATTTTATTGCATCTTTATTGCAAATCTAATTTGTAATTAATCTCTTTCTTACCTACTTAAGTCATAGTTGTTTTCAGGAAAATATCAATCAATCAGGAGGAAATATTCTATTAGTAGAGGTAGAATTTGAAGGAAATGGCATTATTTCATTGTCTGTAAAGTGTTATTTTTAATGGTTCCAACTTAACCATTTTAAATTATATCATAATTCAACAGTAAAAACTTGGTCACACAAAAGATGAATCTAGTTTTAATTGCACTGTAAAAATTAGAAACTATGAATGTTAATTATCTGAAAGAAAAACTAGCCGAAAAAGACAGACAATTTGGCAAGTAGAAGATTTATGGAAATACCCAGTGTGTGGTAAGAGTAAATGTATGATAAGAACAGATGTGAAAAAATTAAGTTGCACCTCTTGAGAAATTGAACCTAAGGAAATGTTATTTTCTAAACAGATCTTACTTCCCTGGCTAGGTGTCCATGGTACATATGCAAGCAAAGACTTTGTTGGTTGTGCACCATTAAATCTTCATTACACAGAAGATATGCACGCACTTGAAGGACTCCTTATTTTCTCACAAATGATAGAAAAACCACTCCTATTTGGGCGCCAGCAATAGCTGTTTGCTAACACTTCCTCATTGGCCTGCGAACTGTACCACATTTGTAAAATATAACGTTCAGCTTCCTCATTTGTAGTGGGGGACATGAACATAGAGCACAGATCTGACAGACTGGTGTTTACTTATGAATCAGTATAGGAGATCACTTTTAAGGTAATAACTGCAGATTAAAATTAATGACTCACATATTATGCATGATGAACACAGCAGTTTCTGTTTGGTTGAAGCAAAAATATATGAAAATTAACATGATACCCTAATGTAACTAACAGATTGTGAATGTAAGAGAGAGAGAGAGACAGAGAGAGAGAGAGAGAGAGAGAGAGAGAGATACAGAGAGACAGAGAGATACAGAGACAGACAGAGAGAGAGAGAGGTACAGAGAGAGAGATACAGAGAGACAGAGAGAGACAGAGAGAGAGACAGACAGACAGAGAGAGAGAGAGAGAGACAGAGAGACAGAGATAGAGACAGAGAGAATTTAAACCAAGTCAAGCACTGTATTACACCTCCTTAGAACTTAAATTAAGGACTTCAGGAAAATCTCACAGTGACAAAGCATTATCATACATTTCACCCACACCATGCATTAGGGATGTGTTTCTGCCTAGATTTTCTTCTCCCTCCTCCATAAACTGACTCATTTTGTTGCTGAAGAATACTGTTTTCCTTTTGGAAAATATCATAGCATCAAAACTTTGGCTTCTGGAGCTTAGGTGAGTAATCTGTCAGCAGGGACACCATGACAGCCTGGAATGACACAACAGCAACAAAAAAAAAAAAAAAAAAAAAAAAAAAAAAAAAAAAAAAAAAGAGAGAGAGAGAGAATAAAAGAAAAGGATAAGCATTAGTAACAGTCTGCTTTGGAAACTAAGGAAGAGGAGCTAGGTCTCAGTTTTTGTAGCCCTCCAGTTAAAATATGTTTTCCCAAGGAAATTATAAAGGAACAGCTCTGAACTGATGTTTATTTTTATTTGGACGAGGGAAAGACTTGAGGGATCAGGCAAATCCAAAAATGCACAAGTACAGGGCTTAGGCTTCACTGCAGATCTAGTGGGTTAGAGAGACGAAATGTGATGTCACAGTGATTGCCATAATTTGACTTTCAACTCATAAGCTAAAACTCAGATGTTGGCTGCTTTTATAGAAATGTAATCATTCCTATCCCAGTTCTTCATGTTTACACAGTGGTTTGGTCACTTGCAACCTGGAGAAGTTCAGAATAAACCAGATGTAAAGTAATAAACATAAACCATTAGGACAAATGAATGTCTGCTAGCTGAATATTTGCCTTCTTGAAAGAGCATCAACTTTAGAGCCAATGGTATAACTTCCCATTGAACTGTCAGTCACAAATAGTAACTTTGCTTTTTACTCTTCCCAACCTCAATAGTAGTGACAATAGTAATAATGCCACTAATGAAAATGGTGAACATATATTGAGAATTTATGAGGTAGCAGATGCCTCATCATGTTAGTCAAGAATTACTTGCCAGGCATTGTGCTAAGTACTTAGGTGAGATAGAGAGTGATGTTCATGTATTATCTCATTTAATGCTATAATCTTCTAAGGTTGCTCTGTCATTTTCATGTAGAGATGAAGAAATTCATCCTTGAAACATCAGATAGTACATAAATTGGTTGGAAACCAATTTCTTGGACTTCACCCTTAAGAAGTAGTTTCATTACCTATCAAATACTTGCTCTTATATATCAACCATGGTGTGTACAGGTGTATTTAGGCTGTGTAAGAAGGATAAATCTCGTATTTTACAGATATTCATAGAAAGTTTTCATGAAATAGTTATAATATGCCAGGCCTGTGCTGTGTGCTTTATGTGCACCGTACATACCTTTATTACCATTGCCTAATGTGTAAACTAGTAAGGAAATAAAATACAGATAAAGAAAATGAGATGTAGGAATTTTCCTGAGTGGTGATGGTAAGATGTAAATCTTCCCTGTCTGCCCCTGCTGCCTGATCACTAGGCTCAGATGACTTTTACCTCATCAAATCCTCCCAGTTTTATGAAGTTGTTCCTATTTTATCCCCAATTACAAATAAATTTAGTGAAATTAGGAAACTTGGCCAACATCAAAGAGCCAGCCAGAATTTTAACTTGATTTCCAAATCCTGTGTTCTAAACCAATATCTTATGTTGTTTGTGTGCTACAAAAATATATTGAATTTTATGACATTTATGAGATGCTCTGGATACTCTCCTTGATATAACACAGAACGCTACAGACTAGATCACTGTTCTAATGAAGTTTTTTTTTTAATTTTCATTTTAGTGGGGGAACAGATGATAGAAAACGACATAAAAATTACAGGTAGTAAATTTAGAAGAATAAAGAATTACAAGGGATAAAGGAAGCTAGAGAATCACTTGACAATGGGCAGCTTGGGAAGACCTTGTTAAATGAGTGACATTTAAGGTGAGATCTCAGCGACAAGAAGGAACTAGGAAGGACAAATTCTGGGATAAGAACATCTACTACATAAAAACATTTTAAGCTTCTTCTGTGGGTTGGCAAGACCACACCTTGGGTTTTGCTTTTTCTTTGTACTCACTGGACATGCCAGTCTTATTTGGAATTAAAAAAAAAACTTAGAAAGTCAGCTTGAGGTAGGAATCAGATTTAATTAAAAATGTGACAGCTAAATAAGAATGTCAGGTAAACAACAGAATGTTTTCTCACTGTAACTATGTTGTAGATATTGCATGGGATGTACTTATACTAAAATTATTATTTATTATTACTCTATCTTAACCTAGCTTAGAGAGCAGTAAAGGACTATAAATAATGTAGTATGAATTACATTTGCAATGGTATTATTTATTCACAAACAATCCAAGTAGCAGTGCTTTGAAAAAAGTTTCTGGGATTTTTTTTTTTCAGAAAAATAGGTTATTTCAGCTTTACACTAAAATGTGTAAGCAGAAGAAAAAAATCTACGTTCTTTTTGGGAGTCCTACTTCCTTATTAATCATTGAAAAATTACAAAAGCAAGCTTTGTGGGGAGGAAAGCATGGTTTTGTTTCTGTTTTTAAACAGAAATCCAAAGGACCAAGTACTACATCAAAAATATGATTGCTAGGGCTGGGGATTTCGCTCAGCAGCATAAGTGCCTGCCTTGCAAGCAGGCAGTCGTGAGTTCGATCCCCAGTACCGGTAAAAATGAAAAAGACAAAAAAAAAATGATTGCTAGAATGTTCTGAACAGTGCTGCTGGAAATCACATGTGAGAGAGTACATTTACTTTTGATTTAAAGTTTTTGTACACTTTAGAAACAAGGTTTTCACTTTCCCTTATTTATATACCTCCAATCAGTCACTTTAGGCATCTCAGAACCAGAGGACAAATTGTGTCTTTTCTTTCTTCTTCTTCCTGATTTTAAGTGAAATTATGTACATAAAAATCACTCCCTAGAGTACAGTTGTCCAATAGAACTTTCTGCAATGAGAAAAATGTTCTGTCTTGGTGTCCAATAAGGTAGCCACTAGCCACAGTGAGTATTGAGGACCTAATATGGGTATTGCAGTTAGTATGACTGAGGAACTGAATTTTCAACTTTATTAAGTTTTAATTTAAACTTAGATATCCATATGTGCCTAGAGGCTACTGCTATATTGGATAAGGTAGTTTATTGTTCTAGGACAATAAGTAAGTATTGTCCCCATAGAGTATCCTCCAAAAATATATCACAGCAGTGCTGAGGGAGCCTAAAGGTAATTCTAAATAAGCAGTCTAAAAATACTTTCATTACTTAAGAGATAGGACTGTAGTCTAGATGATCTCTAAGGTGTCATCCTACTTAAAAATGTTATGTAACTATGAATTATACAGCCTATTTGGGAAGCGTTGAGCTATATTCACAATCCTTTTAAATTAACCAATTAATTAATTTTTATTTTGAGACAAAGCTTATAGTGGACTCAAACTTATCCTTTGCATCATCTTCCCAGAGTACTGGGATTATAGGAACGTGCTGCCGTTCTTGGATATTTCTTTTTCTTTTTAAAAAAATCTCCAGTGCTTGGAAGAGGGCCAGGTGCAGAGTAGATACTCAGTGTGTGGCTACTAAAAGGAACTGAAATCAGTAAGCAGGGGCTTCTAATAACACAAAGATATTCTAAATAAAATAATATGCCTCATAATGCTTGGTAAACAAGGATGGCTGTAGTTCAAGCTGATCAATGGGAGTAAGAATTTTTATTAAAGTGGGTTTATTTTGAGGGGGATCAGTTCTACTGCTTTAAAATACTATAAATGCTAATGAACAATAATGATCTATTGTGAATTTCCTGGATAAAATCAGGTGCTACATGAGTGAGTTTTCTAGTTGAATAATCTTGGTTGGTTATTATTTTGCAAATGACCAAGTTGGAACCACACAGAGAATTCCTTATCCTTCTATTCTCTATTTCTTGCTTACCATGATTGTCCACTTTCTGTTTTCTGCCTCTGGGAACACTAGAGATCGTGGAGAATAAAACACTTCATCATCCACTTCTTCTGCTTTTCGGGGCAAGCAGTGTAAAAACGTCCAGTCAGAGGCAGCAACTTTAGCAGTCTAAAGAGATGGGAAACAAGAGCACGTTTTCATTACTGGGTGCAGCAGTCATTTAGTCTCCTTCAGTATTCAAAAAGACATGTCCACTTTGTATGCTTTGATACTGTGACTTGAGCAACTATCTCTAAGATGATAATGTGTAATCTATTAACTGGTGATTTCTTACTGCTTTTTTTTTTTTTTTTTTTTGTAGTTCTGTATTACTTGTACCCTTACACCGCTTCGTTTTGTTTTGTTTTTTTCTCTTTTTCCTTTTAAATAAATTTTGTTTTAAAAAAAGACATATGGCCTGGAGTCAGAAGGCAATGCAAAGAGAAAGCCAAATGGACAGAGTAAAATTTTCAGCTCAAGACACCAAGTATAATTATATATAATTCTTTCAGTTTATGGAACTCTATAGTAAAATTTTTCTTTGGGAATTGTCATTCCACATTACATCACTAACTCAGCTTCCTGATATTCTATCTAGTGGGATACTGGACATTTCAATAAACAGCTATACTTGTATAATATGTGGTTGATAACAAAAGTCATCAATCATGCCCAAATATATTAAAAAGGTGCTCTTATGTGATAGTATTATATTTTGAGCTTATCCCCAAATTATAGTTTTAGCACATGAAGCATACGTTGTCACTAATTAAACAATCTTGAAAATGAACCGATTTTTGAGCGCACTAAGAAGCATTATAAGAACTATTTACTAGGTACTTCAGGCTTGATGCAATTTTCTTCAACAGTTAATTCCCAAAAGTTGCATTTTCCTATCCATTTCCCTTGTTCACTTACAGATTCATAATGACATTTCCTCATTCTTTGTTAGATCAAAATTACTGCCTTTGTACTAAGATTATGTTGTTTTTCCACTCTACCTGTAAGTTTGGAACATTCTGTATCTCTAAAATACTAGCAAAATGACAGGGAAAAGGAGTAACATTTATACATATGACAGTGAAATGACTTTTCTTCAAGCCTGTAGTCCCAGTACGAGAAAATCTTCTAGTATGAATTAAGCTAAGTATAATGTAAACCATAGATAATTTAAAATAGCTCCATGAAATATTTGCAACATACAATTTCAAAAGACTAACCATAATTACATAAAAAGGTCTCAAGGATGAAAAGGTAAGAAAAAAATGACCAAAGGATATGACTGCAATTTATAGAAAAAGAAATGGAAATGGCCAATAAACATGAAAAGATGTTTAACCTCATTAACAACTAGAAGAATGCAAATTAAAAGAAAAACTAGATGCCATTTTTTCTTTAGATCTACAAAAGTTAAAAATATAAATACCAACTAAGAATAGAAAATGTGTGGAGAAAAGTGTATAGTAGTGAGCTATGAGAGTATAAATTGTTCATTATTTTTGACAATCAATTTAGTAGCATCTCCTTTAAAATGTACTTTAAAGTACTTTAAAATGTATAGGAGGGCTAGGGATTTTTAACTCAGTGGCATAAGTGCCTGCCTGGCAAACACACCTAATCTTGGGTTCGATCCCTGGTACATATATACATATATATATATATATATATATATATATATAGTGTATATAACACATCACCTCCCAATTTTTCCTTTAGGGCCTTATTCTCTAGTAATACTTACACACATAAATGTATGTGTGGTGTTCATTGCAGCAATGTTTACAATTAGAATTTTTGGAAATATTTTAATTTATAGGAACATTATACATAGGCATATTATGATCATATTTAGGAGCCTTACATAGATACTAAAAAGAATGAAATATGTCTATATGAATGGACAAGGAAATCTAAGATTTATTAAGTGGAAAAAGTCAGATTAATACATCTAAAATTCTAGAATTATGGAAAAATCAGTAGTTGTGTGTATGGGCAAGCATACGTAAGTGGACAGAAGAAGTCTGCAAAGAGACACATCGTATTGTTAAACAGTGATTACTTCCATGAATAGTCATGGTTAAGGGGGTAAGGGAGACATTTTCACATTTTGGTTTTCAAACTTTCATTCCATTTGAAATTTAATAGCAAGGAATGTGTATGTATGTATTACTTTATTAATAAAATATTTATTGTACTTTCTTAGTCACTTTTTCCACCAAAACAGATTAGTTTTTCTGCTGACAAAACTCCAATCTGTGCCTGACTTTTAGCTTCTTCTTCCAAAACAGTGATTCTCAAAGTGTGACCCATGAGCAGGAAAGCTGCATCTCCTGGGGACTAAGTAGATCCACATTCTCAGGGCTCACTGAAATTGAGATTTCGACAGAACCTCTAGCAAGGGACAACCAGCTACATGTTAACATCTTCTCCAGCTGACTTTAATGTCTGTTTAAGGTTGAAGCAATCTGCTGCAGATTTATCAGAAGGCCTCGGTTTGAATGAGAGTCCTTTGGGAATGCCCTGGAGGAAGCTGGCAAAACTAAATTTGATCAAGGGGTAGCATTGTGATAGGGTCTGCTGTAGGGGGAAATCAGAAGAACACGCATGCACGAGAAGTAACCCAATGTCTAAAAACCTATACAGAGAAACCATTCTAATACGTTTAATGCTGTCAGAGGGAAAAGACTGCCTCTCTTTATACTGCCTGAGTTTTAAATTCCTTTGGCCAGCACAGAAGTGTCTTGCCAAAAGGACACAGGTAATCCCGGGGAGGAAAGAAACCCTTGGAGTAATCATAGATCTTTTATAGCAATGAAAGGACAGCTCTCCCTTAAGTAAAAAAGTGATTAAATGGTTTTAGTCTTTATGAATGGAATTAATGAGCCTTCAGAGAGGCAGAAATCTGTACCTTCATTGTAATCTGGTAATTTTGGAAAGCCTGGAGCCGCATTTTCTTTTCCTCTTCTTGTCCCATGCTTATCCAAGTGTCTGTAATTAATACGTTTGCTCCTTGCGCTGCTTCCAATGGATCATTTGTCAATGACAGCTTGGTTCCATTCTAGCATAACAAGTGTGCTGGTTAAACAACTTCATGGGACAGAGAAAGGCAATTATAGCTTTACATATAAGGAGCATACCTCTTTGGCATACTGCTCGGCCAACTTGGTAATACTAAGATCTGGCTCATAACCCTGTAAAAGGAAGAATTTGATTGTTATTTGGGTCATTGTAATATGTATGTTTTCTTAAAGGCACACTATTTATTTTCAAGAATAGCCCCTCTCTCCTTTCTTTTATTTAGAGGTAGCCCAACTATATTAACTGGAATATAATTTTTATATTTAGAATTTCAAACTTGCCTATTAAAGAAGGCAACTAATTGCCACATCGTTCTTTGTTATGTCTGGCCTCTTTAGTGATAAATACAGAGTATGGTGCTTTCTAGCTCTCCTAAGGTCCTCTTCTCATACCCATAATAGTTTAAGAGGATTATTTACATAACTGTACAGTCTAATGTATTTTTTACAATTTTAGAATTTGCAAATTTATTTTATTTTTTAATTTTATTTAAAAGGAAAAAGAGAAGAAACAAAACAAAACAAAGCGGTGTAAGGGTACAAGTAATACACAACTACAAAAAAAGTAAGACATCACCAGGTAATATATTACACATGATCATCTTAGAGATAGTTGCTCAAGTCACAGTATCAAAACATACAAAGTGGACATTCAAACAGTGAGACTGCAAACAGTTGTGTTCAATGATCCAACCAAAAACATTAATATGATCATCTATTTAACACCCCTAAACACACTTGCAGTTGTATCCTTTAGAGCACTTTTTTCCCTCTCTTTTTTACAACAAAATTTACACATTTTGGGTTTTATTACTTCTTAGTTCTTATTACTTTTTTGGGAAGAGAATAAAGTCAAATATGGCAAAACAAAGCTGTCAGTCAAAACCAAGGATAGACATAGCACATGATGTAAAACAGAGTACAAGGTTATCAACAATGGTTACCATAATGCCTCTTGCTTCCTTAAAAAGAATTGTCTATCTCATTAGGTATTATAAAGTTGAACAAAACAGTAGAGAACAAGACCAATAAAACCTAAACCTTGTAAACATTACAGGACTTCCAAAGAAGATAATAGTCAAACCAGAATGGGCATCATAGTGAATCTTATTGCCTTCAAAGTAGTTGCCTATGCCCTCAAACTTGATACTATTATACAGAACGGAACAAAGTCTAATCAGTCAAAACAAGATAGTGGGAGTATTACAGGACTTCAAATAAAGTTAATAGGAAATCAAAAAAGTTACTATAATATATCCTGCTAATTTATTTTATTTTTCCCCTTAATTAAAAATCATAAAAATAACTAAATAATTTTTTAATGAATAAGGGAGAGATTGAGATAAAAGAGGACATAACAACATAACAATACAGGTCAAAGCATGACTGTTTCAGCAACCTAGTGCTTCACCACCAAATAACCCGACTTGGTAGTTACCATAGTGTCTGTCTTTTTCCTTGAAATATTTGAATATAACTTCATATACTATAGCTTCAAATATATCCATATCAAGCAGCCCAGAATAAAGCCATTCCAATTAATAAGTGAAAACTTTATAAGGCTTCAAGGCCACATAATGGGGAATCATGATTACCACATACTTTTATATATTTGAATCATTACTTACATTAGGGAAACTATTCGATATTCACACATGTGACTTTGATTTATTTCACTTATGAGTATGGTCTCAGGCTGCACCCATTTATTGATAAATATTTCAATGTGATCCTTCTTTATAGCTGAGTAATACTCCATTGTATAGAAATACCACAACTTTTTTATCCATTCCTCAGTTGATGGACACTTGGGTTGTTTCCAAGATCTGGTGATTACAAATTGTGCTGCTATAAACATAGGTGCACATATATCACTGTGGTATGATGCTTTCAGTTCTTCTGGGAATATGCCTAGAAGTGGAATAGCTGGAAAAAATGGGACTTTCCATCCCAGCTTTTTGAGAAATCTCCAGACTGACCTCCACAAAGGTTGTACCAGTCTGCACTCCCACCAACAGTGTAGGAGAGTTCCTTTTTCCCCACAGCCTCTCCAGCATTTGTTGTTGGTGGTTTTCTTGATCCTGGCCATTCTTTCAGGAGTGAGATGGAATCTCAGTGTAGTTTTAAGTTGCATTTCCCTAATGACTAATGATGATGAACATTTTTTCATATATGTATTTGCCATTTGTATTTCTTCATCTGAGAAGTGCGCATTCATCTCAGATGCCCTTTTTTGGATTGGATCTTTGAATTTTGGGGTCTGAGTATTTTTAATTCTTTGTATGTTTTAGACAAAAGTCCTTTGTCTGAGGGGGAGTTCACTAAGATCTTTTCCTAGTTTGTGGGTTTTCTTTTCATTATGCTGGAGATTTCTTTTGACATGCAGAAACTTTTTATTTTTTTATTTTTTTTTTTTTATTTAAGAGGATAAAGAGAAAAACACAAAACAAACCAAAGCAGTGTAAGGGTACACGTAATACAGAACTACAAAAAAACAAAACAAAACAAACAAACAAACAAACAAAAAACATAACAGTAAGAAATCACCTGTTAGTAGATTACATATTATCATCTTGAAAATAGTTCCTCAAATCACAGTATGAAAGAATACAAGGTGGACATTCAAACAGGGAGACTGCAAACAGCTATGTTCAATGATCCAAAAACATTGATATAGTCAGCTATTTAACACCCCTAAACACACTTGCTGTTATATCCGTTAGAGCACTTTTTCTTTTTTTTTTCCCTCTCTTTTTTACAACAAAATTTACATATTTTGGATTTTATTACTCCTTAGGGCTTATTACTTTTTTTTGGGGGGGGGAGAATACAGTAAAGTATGGCAAAACAAAGCTGTCAGTCAATACCAAGGATAGACATAGCACATGGTGTAGAACAGAGTACAAGTTTATCAACAATGGTTATCAACGTTGTCCCTTGTTTCCTTAAAAAGAATTGTCTATCTCATTAGATATTATAAAGTTGGACAAAACAGTAGAGAACAAGACCAATAAAACTTAGGCATTGTAAACATTACAGGACTTCCAAAGAAGACAATAGTCAAACCAGAATGGGTATCTTAGTGAATCTTATTGTCTTCAAAGTAGTTGCCTATGTCTTCAAACTTGATACTACCATATAGAATGGAACAGAGTCTAATCAGTCAAAACAAGATCGTGGGAGTACTACAGGACTTCAAAACAAGTTAATAGGAAATCAAAAAGAGTTACTATTTATATATCCTAATTTTTTGAATTTTTTCTTTAATTAAGACAAACATAAGAAATGACTAAATAATTTTTTTAAAACAATAAGGGGGAGATTGAGATAAAACAGGACATAACAATATAACAATAGAGGTCACAGCATGACTGTTTCAACAACCTAGTACTTCACCACCATATAACCTGACTTAATAGTAGTTACCATAGTGTCTTTTTCCTTGAAATATTTGGATAAAACTTCATATACTCTAGCTTCAAATATTTTCATATCAAGAAGCCCAGAATAAAGCCTTTCTAATTAATGAGTGAAAACTTTATAAGGCTCCAAGGCCACCTAATGGGGAATCATGATTACCACATATTTTTATATATTTGAATCATTACTTACATTAGGGAAACTATTCGGTATTCACACATGCGAGATTGATTTATTTCACTTATGAGTATGGTCTCAAGCTGCGCCCATTTATTGATAAATATCTCAATGTGATCCTTCTTTATAGCTGAATAATACTCCATTGTATAGAAATACCACAACTTTTTTATCCATTCCTCAGTTGATGGACACTTGGGTTGTTTCCAAGATCTGGCGATTAAAAATTGTGCTGCTATAAACATAGGTGCACATATATCACTGTGGTATGATGCTTTCAGTTCTTCTGGGAATATGCCTAGAAGTGGAATAGCTGGAATAAATGGGATTTCCAGTCCCAACTTTTTGAGAAATCTCCAGACAGATCTCCACAAAGGCTGTACCAGTCTACACTCCCACCAGCAGTGCAGGAGAGTTCCTTTTTCCCCACAGCCTCTCCAGCATTTGTTGTCGGTTTTCTTGATCCTGGCCATTCTTTCAGGAGTGAGATGGTATCTCAGTGTGGTTTTAATTTGCATTTCTCTAATGACCAATGATGATGAGCATTTTTTCATGTATTTATTTGCCATTTGCATTTCTTCATCTGAGAATTGCGTATTCATCTCAGATGCCCATTTTTGGATTGGATCTTTGAATTTTGGAGGTCTGAGTTTCTTTAATTCTTTATATGTTTTAGACAAGAGGCCCTTGTCTGAGAGAGAGTTCACTAAAATCTTTTCCCAGTTTGTGGGTTTTCTTTTCACTATGCTGGAGATTTCTTTTGACATGCAGAAACTTTTTAATAAGAAGTGGTCCCAGTTATTGATTCTGGGAAGTATTTCCCGTGCGGTTTGAGTCCTGTTCATGAATTCTTTACCTACTCCTATATCTCCAAGGTTTCTGCCTAATTTGTCTTCCAATAGATTTAGTGTTTCTGTTTTAATATTCAGATCTTTGACCCATTTAGATTTTAATTTAGTACATGGTGATAGACATGGGTCTAGCTTTAGTTTTCAGCAAATGGAGAGCCAGTTTTTCCAGCACCATTTATTAAAGAGACTGTCGTTCTTCCAGTGAACCTGCTTGGCTCCTTTATCAAAGATAAGGTGGTTGAGTGTGTTCATAGTTGTGGTTGTATCTTCTAATCTATTCCACTGATCTTCGGCTCTGTTTTGATTCCAATACCATGTTGATTTTACTACTGTTGCTTTGTAGTATAACTTCAAGTCAGGGATTGTGATGCCTCCTGCTTTGTCTTTGCTGCTTAGAATTGCCTTTGCGATTCTAGGTCTCTTCTGGTTCCAGATGAAATTTAGGAGTGATTTCTCTAGATCTATAAGGTATGTTGATGGTATTTCTATTGGGATTGCATTGAATCTGTATAACAGTTTTGGGAGAATGGCCATTTTCACAATGTTTGTTCTTCCTATCCATGAGCAAGGGATGTCTTTCCATTTTCTGAGATCATCTTCAATTTCCTTTTTCAGTGTATTATAATTTTCACTGTATAAGTCTTTCACTTCTTTCGTAAGAGTAAT